TACAAAGGAAAATTAATGTAAACACATTAATTAATGTTAAGACAAAGGAAAATTAAGTAACTTCATCTGCTATTGCAAAATAAAACAGTCAACATCTAAAATGCAAACAGTGTTGACCCATGTAAAATCAGCAGACCACACGTACCTATTCAAACACATGTAGAGACAGCAACACACACATTGTCCTTTAATTACATAAATATCTCCCCAGCTGTGTTTTCAGGACCAACTACACTGTTAGGTAACAATATTGTGAATGGCCCCCATGTAACAGAGCTCCAAGTAAAATACAAGTTGTACATCTACCGTAATTTTACGGTAGATGTACGGTAGGTGTATACAAGGTATTTTTTAACATATTAAAAGCAGATGATGACAGCTGACTGCTGTCATGTTGTCAGCTAATCACTCAAGCTAGCGTTAGTTAGCTGCTTAAATCGAGTATTACATACACAAATGTTGAAACTTTTTTCAATATGGAGATGCTACACATCTTTAGCTCTGTTACATTCGCCACAATTTAATCTTTAAGTTCATTTTACTGAGACCACCCAGCTGGCAGAGTAACTTACTAATAGCTGAGTAACAAAAGCATCTCAAAACAATAACCTTCTTTAGCCAGTTAGGCAACGCCTACAGCTTCAATGCTATATAATATATTTAAGAAAAGGGAAAAACACAATAAGCATAAAAGGTCCTCTTTTAAAGCTAATTCCAAATTAAACTCCCAGTGTGGCCACACATTTTGACGAATAAATGCAGTTCTTAATTCAACCCCAGTTCAAGTGCTGTTGTGTAGTCAGCTAACTGCTTGAGCTAGCGGCAGTTAGTTGCTTAGATCAGGCATCACACATATTGAAACCTTTTTCAACATGGTCATGCTTTACGTCCATAGCTCTGTTAGATGCTCCACAATTCAATATTTCAGTTCATTTTACTGAAACCACTCAGCTGGCAGTGTAACCTTCTATAAGCTGAGTAGCAAAAGCATTTCAAAACAGCAGCTATGGTTAGCCAGTTAGCCAAGTCCTACAGCTAAGCACTGAGTGTACAGCCTAACGTTAGCTCCTACAGTCATCCACAACATGTTTGTTTTTAAATAACAATTTCACAACTCATAAAGCATACTTACAGGTTGTGATCCTGAATCTCCATATTTGTCTAACAAAGTGAATTGGCCCGTCTTTCAGGAGTAATTGCAGTGAAAATTCAGCTGTAATTCGTTGCCAGTTTGTGAAGCAGTCCTCAGGAAAATGGAGGGAACACAATAAAATGTACGAGTTATACTGTTGAGGAATATAGTTAAAAATAATTTCCAACCACTTATTCCTCCTCTCCTCTTGCTTTGACAGTCCAAACAATGGTAATTTGCGGTTGCACTGAAAAAAGCAGTCCTCCACAGCGCTTCAACAGTTCAAGCTCTCCATAGCCTCTGCTCCAGCTCTGCTCGAAGTGGGTTTATTTGGGGGAGCGGCTAAGTGGCCAGGTGGGCATTGTGTGCATTGATAATGTGTTAGCGATACGACCAAGTTATGGAAGTAAAGGCAGGACCCCTGACAAGTGCAAAGGTGCAAGGGCCCGTTCATTGCTGCTTGCAGCATTAATGAATTTTTGTTTTTTCTTTGCTTGACAAGAGTGACTGCAGGTTAAACACCTGTGGCCAATGGAGAGAATGGGCAGGGGTGTGTATGAAGACATGATTAAGACCATCTGTATGGTACAGACTGCCTTCTCCACACTCTTACTGCCTGCTAGTATTATCTGACCAAGAGTCAAGAAAAGTAATGCAAAGGGTTAGAGATTTAGCTGAAGGGCTAAAAGGTGTGTTTGTGACGTATGGAACGTGCCGCAAGTCCACATGCTGGATTTGTCTGGACAGGTATGTTGACATGGCTCTCAAGCTCTGGAACATTCATCATTGACACTCCAGAAGCAGGTTTACTTAATTACACAGGACCCAAAATAAGTGGAAAGGTTTAAGAAATATTGGTTCCCCATGTTATGTACATTCCTCCAACATATTTAACATTTTTTAGTGTTGGGGGCTGCCCTCTGCCCTCACTTTTGGCAATCCACCTCTCCTGATCAGTTAAGATCAGTGGGAGTGTGATGAGGTTGAAAAGCACAACAACTCTGGACTTGAAGGAGCGCTCTGACTTTAAGCCTCTAATCTCATCAGTGCAGCTCAAAGAAAACCAGACAGGTTGAAATTTTTCTGATGCTGTGAGTTTCCCAGGGGGTAGATAATGTGGAAATCTCTTCTTAAAGTGCAACTTGCAGGTAATTTTTTTAAAAAATACATAAATATACATAACCTTGTCTGAAAATTACCATATGAGAAGTTAATTCAGAATTTATTATGGTTTACACGACATAAGGGCACAAATTCAGAGGAAAAAGTGGCTATTTTTAGCTCCTCTTCTAAAAACGCTTTTTTTTTTTCAACATCACCTGATACTACATTTTCATTTATCTCTATTTGTTGTAGAGGGACAATATACATTAATGAACATTTTAAAAATAAAATGTAAATGCACCCATAGCCAAAAGGCTAATTTCCATTGGCAGTCCCCCTGCCAGAGGGAACACGGCTAAGTGACCTGGTAAAAAAACAACAAATTACAGTAAAACAGTAACATTACTGTTAGAAAACAGTAACATTACAAATATATACAGTACAGGCCAAAAGTTTGGACACACCTTCTCATTCAATGCGTTTTCTTTATTTTCGTGACTATTTACATTGTAGATTCTCACTGAAGGCATCAAAACTATGAATGAACACATGTGGAGTTATGTACTTAACAAAAAAAGGTGAAATAACTGAAAACATGTTTTATATTCTAGTTTCTTCAAAATAGCCACCCTTTGCTCTGATTACTGCTTTGCACACTCTTGGCATTCTCTCCATGAGCTTCAAGAGGTAGTCACCTGAAATGGTTT